CTCAAAACTCTTTGGAATGCCTTCCGCATTTCACATTTAGTAGAATTGCAAAAGGGAGCAATGGCTCAGCGGCTAAAGACACGGAGCTTGTCGACTGGAGAGCTGGCAGCCCATTTGAGATCCGAGCTCTGCACAACGGGGTGAGCTCCCGTTCCTTGCTCCCGCTCCTGCCCGCCTTGCACTTCGAAAGCATGCAAATGCGAATAAATAGGTACCACTTAAGTTGGAAGGTAACAGCGTTACGTACACCTTTGGTGTAGAGCAGGGGTAGGCAACCTTGGCTCTTTTATGACTCATGGACTTTCTGACTCCCAGAATTTCTGAGCCAGGTTGTATGGCCTAACATATGGCATGAACCCAGGCAAGTGAGGCTTATTCAATAAAGTGTAGTTCACACAACCCAGGGCTTAATATACCAACTGAGCCTAGCCAGAGTATTTGGCTTGGAGGACCGTGCCAGCTAGGATATTCTGGGAGCTGAAACTCACACATCATCAAATTATCAAGACTGAGAAGACAGTTGCCCTCTTGATTTTTCTGACTCACCCAAGTCATCCTAAACTGGTGACTTGGAATATGTCCAGTGTCCGCAGTTTCAATTCTCAAAATTAAACACCCCTTCCCCAGTGACTCATGAGGTTGCCAAGATGCACAAAGATTTCGGCGTCCTTAAGTGAGATCAGATGAGTTCTCATGTGAAAATGCGCAGGGTTTCAAGCAATGAGTCCAAGTCTCTCCACGAAACTGCGATATTCTGAGCAATCCGTCATGTTTTGATGGGGAAGAACGTGGCAGTTCCTGGTGCGTGACATGTTAACGACCCCGGTGCTACACCCATATGCGTGTAAAGTTCTCCAAAACCCTAAAGCTATTGGGCACGCCTGTTTGTTCAGAAAGCGTTGTAAATACACACTGGTTGTTTGCAAATGAAATGAATAAACACTTTCTTTTAATCTCACACATGCTATTCTTTTCCAAAGGTTTAATGATGACGGGGTGGGGAGGTAATTAAAATACGGTATGGGACAAGAGAAAGAAAAAAGAACCAAACCTTGGCAGAGGCCAGGCGAAGTGGGCATAAATCATTTAATGATTACCAACCAGAAAATGCTTTTCTGAGCCACTTTTCTGCATAAAGAGGGATTATTCATATGCCAGCTTAAGCTATTATTATTATTATTATTATTATTATTATTATTATTATTATTATTATTATTATTATTATTATGGATCATCGCACAGTCAGCCAGATGTTCAGACTGGATTTGGCATTTTGTCTACCTATCGAATCCTTACTCAGGACCTGGGATAGGCAGATGTGGATGTTTGATGGTATTACAGATATCGTCGCAGGATGGAAGCAGTTCCTAGTAAGGCTGCCTTTTGCAATTGACTAATAGCGAATTATTATTATTATTATTATTATTATTATTAGCTGAAGAAGTAGTACATAGCATGAAGAAGAATAAACTTGTCTAGTTTAATGAAGAGAAGGACTAAGGGTGACATGATAGCAGTCTTCCAATATCTCAGCGGTTGCCACAAAGAAGAGGGAGTCAACCTATTCTCCAAAAGCACCAGAAGGGAAGACATGAAGCAATGGATGGAAACTAATCAAGGAGAGAAGCAACTTGGAATTAAGGAGAAATTTCCTGCCTGTGAGAACAATTAATCAGTGGAACAACTTGCCTCCAGAAATTGGGAATGCTCCAACACTGAAAGTTTTTAAGAAGAGACTGGACAATCATTTGTCTGAAAGGTATAGGGTTTCCTGTTTGAGCAGGGGGTTGGACTAGAAGACTTCAAAGGCCCCTTCCAACTCTATTGTTGTTGCTGTTGTTGTTATTCAAACCACTGAATAAATCTGGAGACTGTTGCTGATGCTCTGACAGCTGCATGATTTGAGTTGAGGGATATGCTTAAATCCCAATTATCTCCTGTATCAAAGTTTAACCAACTCAGAAAAATGCAAAAGAAGATAGGAAGGAAGGACAGCTAACCAGGAAATGGCCAAGCAAGCCAAGATTATTTTTCCAGCCCATAAGACAGACTCTGTGAATTACGATTAAAACACACCAGGGCTCAGTAAGAATGAAAACAGCATATCATTTACTAAATACAGAAGAAAATAAACGAAATAAAAATGGAGAATGAACAAAACTGACTCTTATCCTACCCTCTTACGTAACTTTTCGGAGTGCCTTCCCGTAAAGACCGGGGTGGGAATGGAGGTTCCGCCCAGCATGCAGAAAATTAATATAAAATTAAAACCATCCATGTGAGAGCAGGTAGTCCTTGACTTATGACCACCACTGAGCCCAAAATGTCGGTTGTTATGGTGAGACATTTGTTAAGTGAGTTTGGCCCCATTTTACGACCTTTCTTGCCACAGTTGTTAAGCAAATCACTGCAGTCGATAAGTTAGTAACACGGTTGTTAAGTGAATCTTGGCTTCCCCATGGACTTTGCTGGTCAGAAGGTCGCAAAAGGAGATCACGTGACCTTGGGAACAGGGCAACCGTCGTAAGTATGAACCAGCTGCCAAGCATCTGAATTTTGATCACATGGTCGTGGGGATGCTGCAACGGTCGTAACGGTGAAAAAACAACCGTAAGTGGCTTTTTCCAGTGCAGTTGTAACTGTGAACGGTCACTAAATGAATTGTTGTAAGTCAAAGATTACCTGCATATATTAATCACACGATTCTTCCGTGAGAGAAGATCGGCCCATACTTCTCTATCTGAGTGGGCAAGCAATGGACCGAGGCCTGTTGACCTGAACATGGGAATGTTAGGAATAAAATTTTAGAATAAAAAGTAAAGTGACACGTACTCTGTAAAATTTCTACACGCAGACAGAAAGATTTCTACCCAAAATTTCTACACGTAGACTGCAAGATTTCTACACAATTTCTACATGTACACATACCTTGGAAGAGTTCTGCACGTAGGCTATAAGATTTCCACACTGAGCTATAGGATTTCATGATAAAGTACATATTAGGGAATAGGTGAAGCAAAATAGTAAGGGGCAGGGATAATGTATTTTGTTTAGGCGATCCTGATAAGATTGTAACCTCAGAGGAGGGGCCAAGGCGTAGGGATAGAATGCATATAATGTGTGTTTTTGCTGTGACCAGCTGTGGCTCAAATATTTATTTGGAGTCCACCACGCTTTGCAAACCATTGTAGCCAATAAATCTCTGTCTAATTTCAACTTGCTGTTTGGTGTTATTCAGTGGGCTAGAATTTCTACCAACAGGAATAAAGTCAGAAGTGAAGGAACTTTGGTCCGCTCTCAGAAAACATGAAATGAATTAGCCTCCAAGTTGCTAACAAAGGTGTCTTCCTTCAATGCGCCGAGACTTGTTTTGAAACTGCACTTTGTCTCTTCGCTGAACTAACTGTGTCAAGAAATCATTAAGAGAGATGGTTATTGCTTGTTTACCTGTTGCGACATCACCCCTTTTCCATTGCAGCCAGACTCATCAGTCTAGCCATGCCCGGACAGGTGGGATTTGCAAAAACTCTCGTGTGCTTGTCTGCATTTAGCATGTTGCACAGCTGCAGGAGTAGCTGCAACTCCTGTTTTCCAAACTTAAGGTTTAGCCTAGGCCTAGGGCAGGGGTAGGCAACCTTGGCTCTTTTATGACTCGTGGACTTCAACTCCCAGAATTCCCGAGCCAGCCATGCTGAGGGGAAAGGGAGAGGTTTCCAAGCTGAGCCACGCTGGCTCAGGAATTCTGGGAGTTGAAGTCCACGAGTCATGAGGGGGCCATAGTTCCCCCATGCTGGCTGAGGAATTCTGGGAGTTGAAGTCCTCAAGTCATGAAGGGGCCATAGTTCCCCCATGTTGGCTTGGTAATTCTGGGAGTTGAAGTCCACGAGTCATGAAGGGGCCATAGTTCCCCCATGCTGGCTGAGGAATTCTGGGAGTTGAAGTCCTCAAGTCATGAAGGGGCCATAGTTTCCCCATGTTGGCTCGGGAATTCTGGGAGTTGAAGTCCACGAGTCATAAAAGAGCCAAGGTTGCCTACCCCTAGCCTAGGGCAATGTAACACAAACATTTTAAGTGTTTAGATTACTGGCATCAAGAGCGTATATGTTTGCAGCAAAAAAAAGAGACAACGTGACAGTCACAACAGCACCACTGGATTGCACATAAAAAAGGGGAGGCTTCAGATGAGGTTTTTTGCAGCTGCAATCTTGCCCTTGCTTTAGGCCTCTCTGCAAATGCCGCTGGTTTGAATTAATGGTATCCTTAAGTCCTGGACAGTCATAAACGTATTTGTGCCAGCACGTAAAGCTGTTCTGCTTCTTATTTCATTCATTTACTTATTCAATTTGCCTCCCGCCCTCTTATTGAACCGAACAGTCTTTTTTCGGCCCTGAACTCAAGGGTTAAAAGGGTTTAACAATCTGGAGAATTACTCATGGCTTTCAAACTGAAGGGTTCTTTTGTTATTAACAAAGGGCCCAAGTTGCAGAAAAAAGGTAGGGCCAAGAAAAGCATCAAAAACACTCCAGGGAAAGATACTATCCTTTGCCTTTTGTTGAGTTTCATAATATATTTACAAAGCAAAAGAACATGCCAAATGCCGATCTCGGAGGCCATAGACGAAATGTTCAAGCTGGATCCACAGACCTGCCTGAAGGATTAAGACTGCACGGGAAAGTACAAAGAGACTTGGATCGTGCAGAAGGACTCGGTGGCTCAAAATACTTTTTTCTTAAAGAAAAAAGGAAAAAAAAACCATTTAAATCGAACAATTCCACAGGTGCAGGGGGTGGGGTCAACCTGCTGGCAATTAAAAGCTTTTGGCACAATCTGGAGTTTCGTGGCTTAGTCAACTATTTCAGAAATGTTGACACTACTTTAAAAGATTCCAAGGAGCAAGAAAGCTCAACTTTTAAAATTCTTCCCCCACCCCCCCCAAGCGCAGACCCACGCCCAGATTTAAATATCCCCATCGCCTGCAATCATAGGCAATCTTAAATACACCCGAACCAAGATACGCGCTCCTCTTTCTCCGCCAAAAGGTAAATGAGAGGGGGAAAAACCAGACATGCGTTTAACAAGCTTACGAACAAGAAAGGGAGGGGAGAGAAATATATCGTTAAAGCCAGTAGATTTAATTCCTACTTTTTACACAGATCAAGAGATTACGACGGGGCTGCAGTTACGGCTGAGAATCGAGCAGGTGTTTAACTCTTTTCTTGGAAACGTGGGAAGGTGAGCCATTTAATCTTCAGCACAGGTAGACTGAGGTAAACCTCGCCAGGACTTTCATTGGGTCTCAGCAGATGGCAGCACTTTGTTAAACTGGTTTAATTGTTAAACTGGTTTAATTCTGAAGTGGGACAGAATTTAGTCTGGGTTGGTCCTGGGGAACCACCAGGAAATTTCGGGCCTTAGAAAGATTAGAGCAGTATTTTTTAAACCTTGGTGTTATGGTTCTGACAGATGAAACTCTTCAAAGAACTTCAAGGCATTGTTTACCTTAAAGAATCTTTTATTCGAGTAGCACTACATAATCAAAGCCAAAAACTGAATTCCCCTCCCCTGGGCACCTAGTATTAAAGCACCATTCCTTCCTCCAATTAACAGTCATAGATCACATTCCCCAATTAGCTTGAAGCACGGGCTTCCTCTCCAGCTCGCCAATTCTTTATCAGCTCTGGGCTCAATAACCTTGATTCTCATGCTAAGTTTAGTGTTGTTATATCTAGCTGGACTCTCGTTCACATCCAACCCCCCTCCCAACATCATCTAACTGTAAAGCGAAAAGGAAAAGATGGCTACATTTCCATCTGTTGTCAATGCATGTTAGCAGCGTTGACACTTGGCAGCTTGAAGATATCCTAGAATTCCCCAGCCAGCAAAAACTATTTTTATAATGTTGCCAACATTATACATCAATGCATCTATGTTATCACTTGTTTAGCTTGACTGAAATGGTAAGTTTAAGATTAGATTCACACCTGTTATAAACATGTAAAAATACATGTTGTGTTCGTAAAGGGTAGGATTGCCTGTTAAGGCAATGAATGGGTGATGTGTTGAACCTAAATGACTCAGCTTCTTTTTTACCTTCTTCACATAAGGGATATCTGAGATGCATTTGAAGAAGGGAGGGGCCTTGATCACATGATCATGGGCTGCCATTTTGACTTTTTTGACTACCCCGCGGCATTGACATCCCTACTTGTTACGACAAAGTTTCAAAGCACATTTGGAATTTCAATGGAGAGAAGCAACCTAGAATTAAGACATTTCCTGACAGTGAGAACAATTGATCAGTGAAACAGCTGGCCTCCAGAAGTTGTGGGTGCTCCATCATTGGAGGCTTTCCAGCTGAACAGCCACTTGTCTGGAATGGTCTAGGGACTCCTGCTTGTGCAGGGGTTGGACTAGAAGACCTCCAAGGTCCCTTCTAGCTCTGTTATTCTGATAAGGACCCGGATTGAAAAGACCCAAAGTCAAATCCACGTGTAGCTTGGAAGGTGACTTTTTCTCAGCTTCCCCTAAGAATTGTCTGACTCTCTGATTGACACTTGTTTACTTAATTATGTAATATAGTTCCACCCTTACTGTTTACATAAATACTTCAAGGTGGTGAACATACCTAATATTTCTTCCTATTTTTCCCATAACAACAACCCTATGAGGTATGTTGGGCTGAGAGAGAGGGTTTGGCTGCAAATCACCCAGCTAGCTTTCATGCCTAAGGCAGGACTAGAACTCAGCAACCCAACTGACTTAATGAAACTTGATTTTCTTCAAAATAAACAGCTTGGCTACAAAAAAAAAGGGGGGGGGGTTAAAAAAAAGTAAAAGTTCCCCACCAAGAAGCTGCATGAGACGAATACAATAATAAACCAAAGGTTAAAAGCTAACAAATAATTAAAATAAGTTTTCCTGGGCAAGCACAGGGTAGTCCTGAAAAGTTTGTCTTATTGTAAAATGTTCAAAAATCTTAGAGAAATTAAAAGTCGTTTTAAAATCCTCACTTTTTGTTCCAGATAAGAAAAAAACGTACCATTAAGAAAAATCAGCTCCATTTTAGTCACATGACCAAAGTTGATTGATTAGGTGCCATCATCCAGCTGGCACTGACTCTTACTGACCATATAGTAGATCTTCTCAAGGCTTTGTTCTCAACCTGGTCCTTCAGGACTCTGAACACGTACATATCACCAGGCTACTGAGTCCATCCCCTCTTCTCTTCTACCTTTTCCAACTTTATACGGGGGCCCTTGACTTACGACCACAACGGAGCCCAAAATTTATATCGCTAAGTGAGAAATTTGTTAAGAGAGATGTGCCCTATTTTACGATTTTTCTTGCCATATTGGTTAAGTCACGGGTAGGCCACCTTGGCTCTTTTATGACTTGTGGACTTCAACTCCCAGCATGGCTCAGCTTGGAAACCTCTCCCTTTCCCCTCAGCGTGGCTGGCTTAGGAATTCTGGGAGTTGAAGTCCACGAGTCAAAAAAGAGCCTGCCCCTGCGTTAAGTGAATCGCTGCAGTTGTTAAGTTAGTAACAGGGTTGTTAAGTGAATCTGGCTTCCCCGTTGAATTTGTTTGGGAGAAGGTTGCCTGAGGGGACCACGTGACCCCCGAGTCAATTGCCAAGCATCCGGATGTAAATCACGTGACCAAGGGGATGCTGCAACGGTCGTGTGAAAAACGGTCGTCAGACACTTAGTGCCGTTGTAACTTTGAACGGTCACTAAAAGAACTGGTATAAGTCGAGAACTGCTTCTAATGATTGGCCGAGATACGACATTTTTTATTATTAGGCCGCTGCACTGTGGCTGGGCTCCTTCTAAGTCAGACCACTAGCGTGCATTTGTATTAAAAGAATATCTCACCCCCTGAATGAGTTCTCACTCTACTTCAGCCATATATTTAATCCTACATTTTCTCTATTCACAGTGCCATCCTATTCAGTACTAGAGGTACTATTCCAAGATTCTCCTGGCAGAGAATTTTAAAAACAAAAGGTAGATATTCGTATGCAGGGGCAAATCATCTTTAATCGGCACGCCTTTTTCCTATTATGTATATTGGTAAGAATAGAACAGTGAATTTATATTTACAGTACAAAGAAAAGGAAGGGAAAAGTGATTTGCAAGGTTAAGTTGTCAAATATTTTAAAGAGGAAGAAAGTGTCAATCTTGTTCACATAATTTTTATAATTCTGTCCTCCAGTTTTTGAGCACTAGAGGCTATATGGGGAAGCCACCCTATCTATACATAATTGTTCTTTCATCACAGCAATCTTGATTTCATGGATGATGCATTCCACAGCATTTTAAATCCCAGAATAAGAAAAAAAAATGCAATTATTGTCTCCACGTGCCCTATAATGCCAAACAAATACACTGGAATATTAATTTATGAAACAGCCTAGATCATTGCATGTGCTTAGATGCTGACATGTTTCTGTAACACAGAACTTTTCAATTTTAGCCTAGTTGTGGGGATCTGGCTGTTGTCTCACTCCAAAATGGAGCTTCCGCAGCATTATGATCTCAGAGCAGGAAATTATCCTTTTGCAAAATGTGATTTTACGCAGAGGCGTAAATTTGTGTATATTTACATTTAACTTAAAGGATCCAAAAGAGGGAAAACAACAAGTTGCAATCAGCTCAAATGTTTTGTTCTGATCTCCCAAGGCATTTGGGATCTGATGGGATCTCAGAGGATCACTGCTTTTGGGATCTGATGGGATCTCAGAATCACTGGCAGCAGGATTCGAACAGTGAAACAGTTCTGCAATTCTTCAAAACCCCCCCCCTTTTTTAAATTTTGTTTATACGTTTTGCTCAAACTTAAGAAGTAGCATAATTTCTTAGGGGACAGAAGCTTTTTTATCCCGCTGTTATGCCAGGGATAATGCATATCAATGGATTTAAATTAAGCAACCCAGTTCTTAACTCTAAATGCTTTTATTGATTTTTGGAAGCATTCATCATCACAAGGAGCTGGAGGCCTATCGTGATCCCAGGAGCGACAAAACAAAACCAAAATCCTCAAGAGACGCTCTCCAGACCAATACAAAACAAAACAAAAAAAAAGCCAAACAAACGAGAAGAGTTTTATTATTCTGTTTGCAATAGACTGAGGCCGTTGTGCCTGGCAAGTACTCATTACAGAGCACCATTTATTCATATGTACAGCCAGGTATATAAACCCCGACATCAAGAATTAGCTGGTTCACAAACCATTAATCAAATGAGTGGTAAAACAGCTAATTGGGGAAGAAACTGCAAAAGGCAATCAAGAAGCTGAAGATCGAAGGCAAACTTTCTCTTCCATGTAGTATTCATTCCTGCCCCCACATAAAAGCAGCCTTTTTTATTTAGCTAATGAACACAACAGTACAACGTCCCGCCTGCTTATTGCAAAGCCATCTCCACGGAACTGACTCTGAGACCATCCTTTACGAGGGCTGATCAAAAGGGGAAGTGTGAGATGTAAAAACCCCAAATTTTGATACTCACAATACGAAGACAAGTCTGGTTAACAAAACAAAGGTTTATTGGAGAAAAACAGAAACAGAATAAAAGAGAAAAGAGAAAGAATAGAAGAGAGGAGCTTTTGCAAACACGGCCCCCGGATCCTTCCCTATGGATTGGATTCCAGGAGCACACTGGCCTAGTTGCAACATCTGCATTTTATACCCCTACAATGCATGCCACATCTAAACAACTCTTTCATCTTTATAGATCAGTGGTTCTCAACCTTTTTATACCGGCGACCCCGGTCATAAGCACGCGGCGCACACGTGCGGCGTGGTGCGCATGCACAGCGGTGCCCCCATGCGCGGCACGCATGCGCGGCGGCGCCCCCATGCGCCGGCCGAGGGAAAAAATGGCGGAAAAAATGGCGGATCGCGTTGTTTGGCGGCCCCGTGAAATGGTCGTTCGACCCCAAATGGGGTCGCGACCCACAGGTTGAGAACTGCTGTTATAGATGTACTCTGAAGTCCATCTGCTGTTATCTTGTTTATTTGTAATTCTCACTTTGTTATCTTGTTTATTTGTAATTCTCACTTATTTGTAATTCTCACCTCTTCGATAGTAGGATTTCTACTCAAAGTGTAAGTTCCTGTGTCCGGAGGAATATTAGGCAGTAAACATTGAACAAACCTTCTCACACATTTGGCAGTGTATTGCTACATTTGTGTTACATCTGTGCTAAAGAGACAGTTTCATATATTGGCATTACACTTCTACAATTATTTTTCTGCAATTTTATAAAAGAATAACTTTTATTTCCTTCAGAAGGAACCCCCAAATAGGTTTAGACCCCAATTTTAAAACTCAACATGCTGCCTTCTGAGATTGTATTCGGGAGGAGTCAATTTTTTTTCCAGAAAATTACCCTGATTATTCACCCAAGAGAAGAAATGTAGAATAAAGGGTGGGGAAATGACAACTAGAAGACTGAAAGAGGATCAACCTGACTTCACTTTCAACATGGTGGGGTTGAACAGGAACTTTCTGCAGAAGAACAGAAGCGGCTCAGAGCAAAGACAACCGAAAGGCAAAACTTGAACCTCCATTAATCATTTTGGGAGGGTTTTTTTTTCAAGGGGGTTTTCATAGCCGGTCAGCTTTTGTTCACTTTTGCCTTTGTGAAACCTAGACCCCTCTTTGAAGTGACAAAAGCAGCCAGGCTGCCATAGACTTCAAAAGCAGGCAGCTTTCAGCCCTGGGAAGTCAGAATGTCTTTCGTACCTGATTTCTTAATAGAAACTCGAATAAAAGTATCACGAAAGCAGGAAAGAAAGCAGCCTGAATTGGGTCAGGGGCTTTCATCCATTGCAGAACAGAGCTCTCCGCTCCTCTTTCAGAGTCACCCCCCCCTCCAGGTTATCTAGCAAAGGTATCTTGTCTGAACGAGGCTGGAGCAAACAGGAAAGAAGAAACTTTGAACTCGTTGCTGCTGTAAGCCTTGGCCATTTAAAAATCAGAATAGCCAGCCCTTTTGATGGAAGAAAGGAATGGAAAGGACTAAGGAGGAGAAATATATGGAATAAGTATGCATGATCAAACCGCCCAGTTTGTAGCAGCGCTGGCTGCTGAATTTCAAAAGAGAAGCCAACGCATGAGTTACTTTGGGTCCGTTCAAAGCAAAACTTTTCAGAAGAAAAGAGCAACGGATGGGGTGGGGGAACCAGGGATGTAACCAGCCAAAGCAGAGGGGCAACCACGGTGGATAAAGGGATGGGGGGGTGGGGTGGTCCAGCCCAAACGGTTTGGGGCAGCGTTTATTCTCAGCAAAGCCAGGGTGGGGCAGGCAGGCAGGCAGGCAGGGGTGCAAAGTTTATTTATTTAGCATACAGCAGTGGCACTAAAGTTTATTTATTTATTTAGCATACAGCAGTGGCACTAAAGTTTATTTATTTATTTAGCGTACAGCAGTGGCACTAAAGTTTATTTATTTATTTAGCGTACAGCAGTGGCGCTAAAGTTTATTTATTTATTTAGCATACAGCAGTGGCGCTAAAGTTTATTTATTTATTTAGCATACAGCAGCGGCGCTAAAGTTTATTTATTTATTTAGCATACAGCAGCGGCACTAAAGTTTATTTATTTATTTAGCGTACAGCAGCGGCACTAAAGTTTATTTATTTATTTAGCGTACAGCAGCGGCACTAAAGTTTATTTATTTATTTAGCATACAGCAGTGGCACTAAAGTTTATTTATTTATTTAGCGTACAGCAGGGGCACTAAATCCATAAATAAAGCAGGTGGGGGTGGGGGGCAAAAAAAGTGCGGATTGGAGGAGGAACAGGACAGAGCCCGAACTGACAGCCTTGAGCCCTCTACGGGGGGGGGGGGCGCGGATGGATAATTGGACTTGGGGGGACCCGGCGGAGGGAACCTTCCTCCTGGGCTTGGCTCATGAGACCCCTTTTGCTCTCCACTTACTCTCTCCGCCCCCCCCCGTCCAATTTCATCCCGCTCCTCTATCCGAGGACAAGGCCGGCCGGGATGGGGTGTGGGGGGGTCTCTGCTCGGGGACGGGAAACTGATTTCCCAACCCTCGGAGCGGAAGAAGCTTCTGGGAGGAGAAGCGAAACGTCCTCAAGCGAACACCGAAGGAGAGTCCAGCCAGACGCCTCTTGGGAAAAAAAGCATCTTTCTCTTTTTTTTGGGGGGGGGAGGCCTTTTCCAACCAGCAGCAGAGCCGGAGACGGGGGGGGTCGTGGCTGGGGGGGTGCAGGGAGCCCACAGAGCCCCTCCTCGAAGCGGCTTCGGGACAGGTGGCGCGCCCGTCCCCCCCCCTCCGGCTTACCTGTACCAGAGCAGCCCCTTCTCGTAGCAACGGTCGAAGAAGTGCGGCTCTGCCCCGACGGCTCGCACGTCCGGGTGGACGCGCAGGAACTCGAGCAGCGCGCGGGTCCCGCCCTTCTTCACGCCGACGATGATGGCCTGCGGGAACTTCTTCTGGCCGGAGCCGCTGGACACCGGCAGAAGAGCCCCGGCCGGAGCCCCGGGGGGCGCCTCGTCCTGGGTCAAGGCGACGGCGACTTCCTCGCCTTCTTCTTCCTCCTCCTCCTCTTCCTCCTCCTCCGCTTCTTCCTCCTGCTGCCCCCCGGGCGGCTCGGGCGGGCGGCGGGGCCAGAGGGGCGCCCGCGGGGGCCAGCCGGGCCGGCGGAGGGGCTGGCAGGGGCCGGTCAGGCAGTAGAAGAAGTAGCTGCAGAGCAGCAGCAGCATCGCGGCCAGGGCCAGCGGGCCGCGCGGCACCAGCCCCCCCAGCGGCCCGCCGCGGCTACATCCCATGGGCGGAGGGCGAGCCCGGGCAGCGGCGAGTCCCGGCGGGGGCGGGAGCCGGCGACGGGGGCATCGCTCCCCGGGCCGCTCCCTGGGCAGCCGAGCCGGCCACGCGTCTCCCCGGGCCCCTCCGCGCTGCCCCGGCCGCCTTTCAGCGCCTTCTGCTGCCGTCTGACCCCCCCTCCCCTCCCCGCCCCTTCGGCGCCGCCCCCCCTCCGCCCACTCGCCCCCCTCCCGGCTGGAGGGCGGGGGCCCCGACCGGCTTCTGCGCCGGCCGGCCCGGCATTCACACGACGACGCGGGGCGGGGCGCGCCGAGGCGGGGCTGCCCACCGAAATGCACCTTCCCGGCCCGGCGGAGGTCCCGGGCCGGGCTGGCCATCTGGCGGGCGCCCCGCTTGCCCAGAGGGGGTCCCCAAGCCGCGGGCGCCCTTCCCTGGGAAGGCGGAGAGGGCCCCCCCCCCGCCCCGTCCCTCCGGCGCTGCTCCGGCGGGAGGAGGAGAAGTCGCGGACGGCAGCGCGGAGTGGAGCTGCCTGCCAAGGAGACGCGGGGCTGCCGGATTTCGCCTCCGCCCCTCCCCAGCCCCGCTGCAGCCTCCTTCGCTTTGGAGGGCCTCCCGGGCGTGCGAGGCTGTGGGGGGGGGTTCTCCTGGGGTGGGGTGGGGGGTTGCGAGTGATCCTGGTCCCTGGGGAGGAGGAGAAGCCGCGGACGGCAGCGCGGAGAGGAGCTGCCTGCCCAGGAGACTCGGGGCTGCCGGATTTCGCATCCCCGCCCCAGCCCCGCTGCAGCCTCCTTCGCTTTGGAGGGCCTCCCGGGCATGCGAGGCTGGGGGGGGGGGTTCTCCGGGGTGGAGTGGGAGGTTGCGAGCGATCCTCTGCAGACGGCGGGCCTGCGCTGCGCCCTTTTCTCACAGCGGGCTCGGTCCTCGACGGTCGCCTCCCTGCAGCCTCTCCCGGGAATGCAGGTGGGGGGGGGACTCTTCTCCCCGGTTCGGCACCGATCGGATATGAAAAATTGACTTGCCCTTCAATGACGTTGATCAATAAACGGGTCTTTTCTACAGGAAAGCTGGAAAACCGACCGTCTTGTTCGCACAACTTGCGAAGCTTGGGGGGGGGGGTCATTTAATCGAGCACGGCGGCGGAGTTCACACAATACGCACGAGCCAAGATGGGTCAGAGGTTGATTTAGTAAGGGAATCTATATGGCCGGCGTTGCATTGAGCTGCTTTGATAGAGCGCATGCATATTCTTTGTTGTGTACTTCGGTCGGCCGGTTATGCAACTGCTCTCTTTACCGCTTGGCAATTAATTTGTTTTTAAAAACTAATTTAACTCGCCTCCTACTCGTCTGGAGAACACTGATTCTTGAGCACGCTTCACAGTTAAGCAGACAAAAGGATGTGTGTGTATATACACATTTAAAGTCTAATTCTAAAGGTACTTACTGGATGAAAAATATATCCCACTGCCGTCAGTGAACACAAGTTACGTAATATTCATGGACACTCTTAACATTTAATGCTCAATACTTGCATCGGATATTAGGATGGAAAAATATGATGTACTTGCAAATGCCACTGTTACGATGCAATTGCTTAAAAAGCTATATGATTCTTGAGTAGTATAATGCAAAATTCAGGCCAATAATTGTTCCATTGCTTCGCGCTCACTAAAACTGCAACTGAAATATTGGCTCCATTGTGAGCCCCACATTTAAAAGGTGAGCTCAGACTTGTGACCCGTCCTGGTGGGGGGGGGGGAGGAAGAGGGGAGGGATAAAACCAATGAACCGAGCCAGGCAGGGTTTGGCACACCTGAGCCCAAGAAGGACTAGCAAGAAGGTTGTTGCTACTTAAAGTTGGAAGAAACAGGTAGAATGTACTTCTGGTTTGGAATAAATATGGCTGGATTCCTAGATCCTGCAATACAGGAACAACGACACTGAAAAAAGTGACTTAGGACCGTTTTTTCTCACAACTGTTGCAGCAACCCCGTGGTCACGTGATCAAAATTCAGATGCTTGGCAACTGGTTCATGTTTATGACGGTTGCCGTGTTCTGGGCTCATGTGATCTTTTACGACTTTCTGACAAGCCAAGTCAATGAAATCAGATCCACTTAACATCAGTGTCGCTAATTTAACTGCAGTGACTCACTTAACAGCTATGGCAAGAAAGGTTGTAAAAACGGGGCAAAATTCACTTAACAAATGTCTCACTTAACAACGGAAATGTTGGGTTCAATTGTCGTAGATTGAGGACTACCTGTAGTTGATTTCCATTATTAAGAGCTGCTTTGATATTTGCATAAAACACCATTTGAGGGAGTCAAGCTATTCTCCAAAGCGCCTGAAGGCAGGACAAGAAGCAACGGATGGAAACTAATCAAGGAGAGAAGCAACCTGGAACTAAGGAGAAACTTCCTGACAGTTAGAACAATTAACCAGTGGAACAACCTGCCTCCAGAAGTGGTGAATGCTCCAACACTGGACATTTTTAAGAAAAGACTGGTTAGCCATTTGTCCGAAATGGTGTAGGGTTTCCTGCCTGAGCAGGGGGTTGGACTCGATGACCTCCAAGGTCCCTTACAACTTTATTATTATTATTATTATTATTATTATTATTGTATCACCATGCCAAAAATAAACACAACATATGTGAGTAAATTTAAAATATATACAAACGTTTGAACAAGCCAAGGAAGATCCCTTTTTTTTTTCCCTATGGGAAGAATAAATGTGGTGTTTTGATGAGGCATATGCTGTGTGTATATAATTTATAATCTCCCTTGAACTTTCAAGATATTGCAGGATACAAATCAAAGGCAAATGCGCAAATGTGTCTCTGCCAGTTTTTTTTTTTTAAATGATATTCCAACCCAGGACTGGAATTGAAGAAACATCAAACATCATTTGGGAACAGAAGGGGTAGGTTAAGGGAGTGGGACGGGAGGAGACGATGTTTGACAGCACACATTCAATTAATATCTTTGCAACTGAATTTCCCCCTCTAATTTTTCAAGCCTTAATTACTGTTTTCAACCATTCCTATCATGAGAAGGGATCTGCAGGGAAAATCCATCTCTTTTCTGCTGAATTTTAAAATAAAAAAGGGAAACGTGTTATCAATAAACAGCAATTAGTTCGGTGATAGCCACATGCCAAGCAATTAATGCTTGCAATTGACACTTTTAATTTGTGTAGGTGAGTTGTTATATGCACATGTTCACCAGCATTAATAAATGTTGTTTCTTTTTCTTACTTCATCAGCCGAAAATGAAGTTTAAAAGATGTACTGGTTCATACAACATGCTAATCCATACTGTGATTTAAACACTTTTTGTTAAACAAGCCATAATTGGTTGCATTCATACTTTGTGCTGAAGTATGAATTGTACTTTGCAAATCCAAGGGTTTGGCTTCCCATACTGCAACATAGAAAATCTAGGTTATCAGGAATAATTTTACAGAATAGAATAGAATAGAATAGAATAGAATGGAATAGAATAGAATAGAATAGAATAGAATAGAATAGAATAGAATAGAATAGAATAATAACTTTATCGTCACTTTGAATGTACACTAATCGGCATACATTAAAATGAAATTTCATTGCATGCAGCTCTCAAAGGGTCACCACATCCGATATACACTACATAAATATGGCAAAAGTAAATAAATAAATAGTTGGAGAATAATTAGGAAAGCAGGACAAAACCTTTTGCTAAGTATTCCTCTATAAAGCTCAAGCATTCATCAGAGCAGCGGTTCCCAACCTTTTCTATACCCTGCACCCCTAGAACACTTCTGATATATTCTCGCACCCCTTACAAAAATAATAAACTTATTTAAATAAATTTTGAATGACATGAACATAAAAAATAATTTTGAAACTTCTAAACCCAAATTTTTGCACTCCCTGGAATATCGTCTCGCACCCCCGGTTGGGAACCCCTGCATTAGAGCATGAAGTGGAAAAAATGACCAGATTTTATTGAGATATTCTATAGGAAGGCCCAGTGTGGAGAAGACTTTAATTTTGGTTTCTTATGGTCGTGATTGCATCAGTTTGGGAATCTCTTCAGTATTTCTCATTTTTCCTGCTGGCAAGTTCAGTTTATTCTATGCTGTACTGTGCTAGGTAAACATATTTCTGAACAAATATTTGTGTTGGACTTCTAGACTAATATTCACCAGTATTGAAAACAGATTCTTTAATGTAAGGTAGCCGTGTTCATTATTTTCAAAAAATATGTGCATTTTTATACAGAATTTTCTCTATTATTTTACTATAAACTTTACAAAATCTGGAGAAGTACTGTATGAATGATGAAGAACAGCTCACTCTGAGCTTGTATGTCAGTTTACAATTGCAAAAATTAAGTTTGCATTCAAGTATACATTAGACACATCTGTAGTCCATTCTGAGTAAAAATAAATAAGTTAATTGATGGTTGCTGTGTCAGTAAGTGTCTTTGCTGCCAACCTAGAAGGACTATATCTATGGAGGTTCTCAGTCATCCAGGTCATGGTCGTCCATTCGCTTGAAGACATTTTGCTTCTCATCTAAGAAGCTTCTTCAGTTCTGACTGAATGGTGGAGAATGGAAGGATTTATATATTCCTTGCAGTCATCTAGTTGTTAGTGCTCTTTCTGAGAATCGTGGAGGCCCCTTGCAGATGCTGAGAATCTCCTTAGACATTTAGCTATGCGCTTTGGAATGAACACCCTTTGAACGGTGTGGAAGTATGAATGGATTTCCAGAAAAAAATTGCGGATTACAGGATGCAGGTGACCCTGAGGGACAGATAAATCTCCAGTGGCCTCAACAACTCTCAGAAAGAGGGCTAGCGACCAGATAGGAATAGCAATAGCTCTTAGACTTATATACCGCTTCCTGATGCTTTACAGCCCTCTCTAAGCGGTTTATAGAGTCAGCATTTTGCCCCCAACAGTCCTCATTTTATCAACCTCGGAAGGACAGAAGGCTGAGTCCACCGTGAACCGGTCAGGATCGAAGGAATCGAACTGCTGGCAATGTGAGCAGAGTTAGCCTGCAATACTGCATTCTAACCACTGTGCCACCACAGCTCATATGACTGCAAGGAATATAAGTCCTTCCATTCTCTACCATTCAGTCAGAACCAAAGAAGCTTTTTGGATGA